GCATTTTGGTGCCAGAATGGTGCACTAGAAGGGTAATATGATGTTGTCTACTGCCACCGAATTTACAATCCGTACCAGATGGGTGTACCATACAATCTATTCTTACTTCATCATATTGCCGAAATTATTTCGGATAATGAAAAATAACAACATAAACAGTGGTGCAGAAGATTGATATGCTCTCCACTTATCTGTGTTTTGGCTTGGATACCAACGTCCATGCTAATCAACAGTATGGTGGACACCTATCCACAGGGAAACTAAATAGTCTCTTGTCGTCACTGTGAACAAACACTGATGCTGTGAATCGTTGTCACCGCTGACGTGGAATGTTCAACAGATCTTTTAGGTTCATACAAAACTACGGTTACCACTTCGAATCATCGACAATAATTCTTTGTTTACAGGCAACAGGCTACTGAATGGAAGAGGAGAGTTGCCTGTGATTTTGGTCTTATTCTTATGATTTACTCAAAATCCCTGACCACTTGTCTTGTTTGTCTTCATTCAATTTGCTTTTACAGTCTAATTGATTGCACCACTGTATTTTGTTTTTGCCAGAATCTGTGGAAGCGGTAAAACTGAAGGTTTGCAGTTGAATTGTTTTACATACATTTTGCCGTGAAGCACAATTATTTACAGAGTCCCTCAACACTTTGAATATACATTCCTTGTTTGGCAACGAACTGTTTTGAATTTGGTCGATTTTGCTGTATATTTGAAAACACCCGAGATTCATATCTTCGATACAGGCTACACAATGGTTTTGACGGTAACATCTGTTATCAATGCTCCACAATGCCCTACTTCAGAATTAAATTGAGTTGATGACTGTATGGATTGTTGCAAGATTTTCATCCCATCTATGATCTCATATGATGCATCTACCAACTCCCTTGCCCGACAATGGATTATGACCAGAAGCAAACATGTGCGTTTTCCGCACATAAACGGGCTGGTATCTGAGGTAAAAATTATACTACAAAACTTCTGGTTCACCCAGTACTGTGCACTCATGTGAAGTGATCCTAAATGAGAAAACTCAGTGATAAATCACTCCACGTTCACATACATCCCCTCAATGAAGAAATGCTTGACATGGAGAACGACAAATAAATTGAGAAACTGAACCAGATTAGGTGAGAATCCAAAGAAATGCAGAATTTTTCGTATTCATCTTTTGTATAGTAAAAGTAAAACAAAGTGCACTATACCCGTTAATCCGGTCTTCAAGTACCGTATTATTAATGGAAACAATTCCATTCCGAAGGATAACTATCATCTTGAATGCAATCGCGATTGCGCATGGTGCAGTCCGGAATCCTATGGAATCAAAAGCCAACAGAAAGTATCGAACGAAAGTCTCACATCTAGTTGTGATACTCAAAAAAAGAGTGAAGTGATAGAATGCATTCAGAGCTATATTTAATTAACAACTCACACGAAACGAAACGGGTTGGTTCGTGATGGGAATTTGGATTGTATACAGAAGACCCCTTTGGCATTTACCAAAGTGCGTCACCTCTGAAACCGACTGGCGAGATTTCCGACTACCTGTTAGAAAACGAGAATACTGTGCAGTAGTTAGCTCTTTCATTGTCCACAGCTGAGACTCGACCACCCAAAAGTGAATCTATTCGTGATGGTTTGTTATCTCTGTCTCTTCAGTCTTTCACTAGACGCCTTCTTTTCAAAATCCAAGTTGTTTTCAAAAACGCCTCGATTGGGTCTCGAGAAGACTTGATCAAGTAGCTGGCTATATGCAAAGAATAGAAAACAAAACCGCCAGTATTATCACTGTAATTATAGTGCTTTTACTTCCTCCTGGAAGAATAATTCATGTAGACCAGTGGTCTGTCTATCAAAGATTAGGCGCTCTAGGTTATATGCATCACATGTTTAACCACAGCAGTAACCCTGTAACAGGGACACACGCCAATTACATCGAACCATTCTGGTCACAACTCGAAAACAGAATATGAGCAGTTCATTATTTTCAAATGAAATGATCTGCAGTCATCGAGACGAATTTATGCACCAAAGTTTATTGAAACTGTCTACAAACACACCAGTCTATAACTGAAACACTTCAACTCAACATGTTGCTAAAAACTACCTTACCTAAACAATATACCATACGCTTTGTATACTTTTTCATGTTGTAGTGTTACGATTGACTGTTGAAGATAATATATCGAGTGATAGGAAGTGGACTAAGTGGAAATCAACATTTTGAGTGATACGACGCTGCGATAGAACGTTTTATTTCAACTTTTGTTTCATGTCATTCTGTGGTCAACAAAACTTTATTGGACAACTTTATCATACTGGTGACCAATCACTATAAGTTATTTAGTTTTCGATAATGGTGGTTTTATACATTCATGGAAACCGTACACGCATGATGTTTATTGTCGAACAAATTGTCTTCCTCACAGTCACAGATCAGTCTTGTCTTCGGATATCTTCGTAGCTCGATGAGGGAGAATAGTCACTACTCTTACCCATTCCAAGAGTCTCGCTGCATTATTACTGCTCAGGTATTTTTCTTTTATCATTTCACCTAATCACTTCAATTGGAGGCGGGTTTCAGTTGCAGTTTGCCATATCTTTCTCATTCAATGGTCTAAAATCTATTTTGCAACTTCAACAAACTCGAAATGAAGCATCTCAACAGAAATTAGTCAAAGCTCTTACATATAAATTATTAGTTCAATCACCATCAACTTCTCATCAGAAAAATATGAAGGCACCTTCAATTCCATCAGTCAGTGTAACTATGATCCAATATCTCGTCTCATAGCTGATTCATCGTTGAATCAATATGAAGATGTTTTCGCACTGGATGTCCCATGTTCAACAATACAATCAAAGTTCGATTAACTTGATACTACAATTGAATACAATTAATATGTCAATTTTATTCTGCCGAAAAACCCTCGTGAATTGTCATTTGATGAAACTATTAATATTCTATCTCAAAGTTCTGGTGAACATTCCATTCCAACTAATAATATTTAGTGGCAGTGCTTTCAGATATCAAAATTACCTTCTGATGAGTATGTGACCTATTCTGGTAAAGTCAATCGTGAATGTGAGCAACTCAGAACCAACGAAATGACATCCGATTGGTTTAAATATTTGATTTTATTCGTGGTCCACAGATCCCTGAAACTAGTAATATTCGAGCCAGACTGGTGTCATGTGTCGATAAGGATCCTAAGACGACTTTACAGATGGTGACAACAGAATGTCGACGTTTAATCAACTTGAAGCATGTAGAGAATACTAGCTGTAACCGAAAACCACTGTAGCAGCTGACAAAGTAGAATAACCGCTCATATAGTTTAGCAGGTCAGAACTGTGCACCAAATCAGTGAACAACCAGTAGGAACTGGCTTGCTGTCTTAGTCTTAGGAGTTTCAGATCAACTCCAGTTAAGTGAAAGGGGCAGCTGTTCGTCGCCACTCACTAACTGTGTTACTGGGAGTTTGAGTTGTGTGAGACTTCACCGTTAAAAAAGTCAAACAAATCTTCAGGACTAGTGCTTGGAAATGTGGTTTATATTTCCTATTGGAAGCACTTTGTAGAGATTTCTTGTGAGAAAGTAGATTGTTCATATCACGGAAACAAAGTGTAGTCATCCGGGTACGAAACGAAGCCAGTAAATAGGTTGCTTTCGAACATATACCTGTTGTAAGGCCCCAGTTTTGCATAAAACATTCTTTTCGGTCTGAACATTTCTAACTCGTCATTTTAACAGCGTTTTGACAGCATGACTAGTTGTTTATTTTCTGCCCGCATTGTAATGTAATTCACTGATTGGTTACTCCGTACTCTACGTCAATGTCTCAAATTGCGGACAAGGTTGTGTTTCATGTGTGTAAATAGTCACGTGTTTTTGAATTGACTGATTATTCTCGGAGGGATAAACTCTCCTATCCAGCTTCGGCCTTCTTCTCTATTCTCCCGGGTTGCAGTCGGTGGCTGTTGCGTGCAAAGTTAACTGTCAGTTAAGCGTGCGTATTATATCCGTTCGGAATACATAACAATACTAATTTATTTCATCTCTGATGTTGCAAAATTCATGGAGTAGTGAAAAAATTACCCCACGATTTGCCTTGAGTAACTCACGATATGAATTTCTGACCGGTATCTTTTGCGAAACCAACTTTCTGGTCTCTGTGGGACAGTCGAACTATCTCAGTGGAATGTAGACCAGTCATTCACGTAGGCCAAACTGACTTCTCTAAGGCTCTTTATATGACTGACTATGACTTACTCTTCATGAAGTCACAATAATTAGGCACAAATGTATAGTTACTGATATAGGTAGAGAAGTAGATCCTTCACCAACTCCAGTCAACTCTTAGAGTTGACTGCTACCTATCCGAGTGGTTTGCAATGAAGAGTGATGAACCTAACGAATATACTTTGAACTCACTTATGTTTTCATATTTACAAAAAGGTACGCTGGCTTTTACCAACTCTCTGTCACTATTATGCAAAGATAATCTTAAAATAAGGAGGAAAAACTTGGTTTCACGGATATCTATCCTCGCAGAAGATTTGTATTGCACCTGTAAACTGCAGCCGACAACCCACCTTCGCAAAACATAGGACAACAATAATAGATGCGTTTGAATTCTATACGTACACATTCCTATGATTATGAACAGTAATTTAAGCTCGAACATCAAGTAAAAATTACTATATCATTGTGTGTTGTTATACATCAAATAAACAAATCTTGTATGGAGTTATATTCTATCACAATGACTACATTTTACACTTGTATACCCATACATACTTGCTAGAAATGCATTTCTCTCCAAATCTAGATTGAAGAATGTTCTTGATATCGCTGTAATTGAAAAACTATCAGGTCTGAAAACTGGTTGATCGATGGTCAAGAGAGTGTACAGTGTTCTCAGGTCATTTCTTAAAACGTTGATAGAACTAGCTTCTTATTTATTCGTAGGTGCATGAGATCTGTATATTCACCGTACATTGTTATTTTTCATACTTGTAAAGAGGCCCAAGCTACTTCCACGAACACGAACACGTTGTGCTTCGACATTTCCTTTCCAACGTTGTTGCTGATCACGAACACGATCCACTACATTGGATACACCAGCAGATGTACTAGGTATTGTAGTAAGATGCAAAGAGTTGGGTTCTTCAAGTTGATCATTTGCTGTAACACTGGTACGATGACGTGCTCGCACACGATTCAAAGGGGCTGCTACATAAGAAAAAAGCAATTCCGTTATGCAATTTCGAATGCAAACAAGGGAATCAAAGTCAAACAGACACTCCATTGAAATTAAAAAGAGAGTGAGCTAGACGTGGATTCGAATAAGTAACATGTCAAAATATATACAACAGAGGAACATAGTGTGCAATGTCCCTGACTTGACAGTTTGGTGGTTGTCACTGATCTTAATTTAACTTCAGCTTAGGTTTAGTATTGATTAACGGACTGAAGAAGATACCCGACGCTGGTCTTGACTACTGTTATTGCCCGAGTCACTATGTTCCACTCGGTTCTACTACCACTAACGTCATACCACCTGAAAGTAGGTTGCTAGCCCACACAATGCTAAGTTATATTGTACCTGGTGGCAAAATATACGGTGAACATAAAACACCGTAAGAGTATACGCAGCCCAATCAGAATGTCAAAGTATGAGAACATGTGACAGACACGTTAAGGACAGTCGTGACCCATTGGTTATCACTTTTATTCTTACTCAATACCAAGACAATATAGTGAGAAAGTTATTTAACCAGTTCCAATGCAGAACTTTACTCTGAATTCTATCACCCGAAGAAATAAAATTCAGATATGTAGACTACTAAAATCATAATGGAAATCTGTGATTTGTGAAAATCAAATTATTGATGGGTCACAGTCGAGTGGATATTATGAGGGCAAGAGGGGGTGATGAGGGACCAATAACATACAAATTATACGACATATAGTCCAAACATCCGAGCGAGCTACGCTTAGCCACTCAATAAAGTAGGCAAAACCAAAGTATCAAGATAGATTAAAAATAATAAACCTGAAGATTTTTTTGGAATATTTCATATGAACTTTGATTAAATAGTTTCACAACTATCAGACGATGACTGAAACGTTAACATTAGATATAAAGTGTGTTCAATTTGAAAATCCCCATTGAGTCGTAAAACCAAAAGAATTTAGATGGAAAGAATAACTCTTCACTGAATTCATTTTGTTCTTCTATTAGTTGTGTTTGTAAGAATCTCAGTATTTGTAAGATAAAGTAATTAGAAGATCTTGATCAGAAGTCTAGTTCGAGCATCTTTAGGGGAATAGTCGAATGGATAAAATGCGTGATGAATGTTCACTTTATGTTAAATAACAAGTTCTGTAGACAAGTTGATAGGGTTGCGGTTGGCACTCCATAGGGTCCTACCTCAGCGGACATCTTCTTGGACAAACTTTAAAACGGTCCACTTAGGGATACACTTGATAAGCTAGACTATTATTACCGGTATGCAGATGCTGCATTTGTAATTTGTAACAATGACTTCAACAAAGACGATTAACTGAATGTTTTCAATAATGTGCATTCATCTATGAAATTCACCTGAGAAGGAAAACAAAGGAATAGTATATCATTCCTAGATATCCTCCTCACAAGGAAGACGAATGTGTATATTAAGAGGAATATTTTTAGAAGGAATACATGAACTGGTCAGTTTATTCATTTTCATAGGTCCACGACACCACAATATAAAAGAAATCTAGTCAAATGCCTCAGTTATAAAATATAAAATATATGTACTGATGGTTTTATATGGAAGAAACGGATAAGCTGAAGACAGACAACATTTCAGCAAAATGGTTGTTGTCTAGGAAACTTCATAAATAATTACACATTGAGGCCTAGAGAGATTATACAGAAGAGAAACTTTGCTAAGACTAAGTTTCATAGATGAAATCGCCTGTGATATTATTGACACACCAAATGAGCAGATCTATCGAAAGGACACTCACTGCAGTGAAACATTTCGTCAACTTCTCAACTAAACCATAATTGAAATAGCGAACCAAGGATAGTTTATGAATGATGGCCACTTTATGACGCATTTATGAGTTGAACTGCTCCTGTTGAGCTAGTCACATAGGCCGTACTCAAAAGGCTCTATCCATGTGCGCTCGTGAACATGTACCAGGTTGCTTAAGTAAAAGAATGACAAAGCTGACCAACGGAACAATCCTCTCGCATCTAGTAAATACCAAACATCAGATTAAGGTAGATCAAGCCTTTTCTGTAATATATCGTGTTCCATGAAATCTCTCCAAAGGTACACGACTGGGTTTATTGCCAATAGTCGAAGCCATAGGAATCAACACATGAAAACCTGACCTGTATGTTCAAAAGAAATATGTACACCTACTCTATCTATTTTGACCCACTATGAGGTCAACACGTTCTTTTTCGACCACATATTTGACCTTTTCAACCTTGGATCCCATCATATTCTTTTACTTTGTCTCTCTCTCCTCTCTCTCTCTCACACACACACACACACACACTCTTCAGTGATAAACATTCATTTTCTTATGTCACAAAGTTTTGTGCTGTTGTTTATTGATACTATTACCAATACGCATTTACAACCCCAATGTTGTAACACGTCACATTTGTTATTTTCTTATAATATTCACATGATTTTCACTCCCACTTGAATATAACTCATCGCTTAATCATGCTGATTTAATCCTCAGTCAACAAACATACAATACACTCTCATTTGACTATTTCAGATAGCCGTAGTTTGGAAGATTAGTAGTTATACTGGGTGATGATTGAACTTTTATTATTATTATTATTTGTACCTTGGGTTCCTAATGGAACAAAGGGATTCAGTAGCACGTCTCAATTCCACTCTCTTCTCTCCAATCTTTCCAACCTGCCTCCACCACTACCCACAAGCTCTCATTTCCTCCTCGTACGATCCCCTCCAAGTCACCCTCGCCTCAGACGCCCAACTCGTCGCTTCTCATCTGGGTTCCACTCGACGGTTTGGCCTGGTGGGTGATGTCCCCGTATGGTCTTCTCAGTGTATGCCCAATCCAATCAATCTACACTTCCTTCCACTGCATATTTGTTCAGCGATCGGTTCTTGCCTCGTTGGTTCGTCACCAGCCAGCCAGAGTGAGTGCCTTGTTGCTTATTCTTCTTATCTTGGCCATCTGATCTTCATGACAAAGCGTAGGCAGTTGTTGGTGAATGTGTGTAGTTTGTTGGAAATGCCTTTCGTGACGCGCTGCCCTGCCTCTTCTGTGACAATTTGTTAGTTATCGCCTGTAGATCTTCGAGTTTGTGTGACATTAGACACAAGTCGTCGGCGAAATCCAAGTCTTCAAAGATCTTCTATTCGGTCCAGCGTATCCCCCCCCTTCTCACAGCTCTCCACTGTTTGTTGCGTGATCCAGTTGACCACAATCAAGAATATCATGCGTGATAGTAGACAGCCTTGTTTCACTCCTGTCTTCACTTCAAATGCATGACTGAGCTTCCCATCGTGAATTACTTGGCATGTGGAGTCCTCACAAAGTTGTTAAATGAGGCTGATAAAGGTTTTCGTATTCAGTAGTATTGAAGCAGATTCCAAATTACCTCTCGGTCGACGCTGTCAAAGGCCTTCTCAAAGGGATATGCTAGACCGCAGAAAAGAACCTAGAAGATTTGGATTTCGTCGACGACTTGTGTCTAATGTCACACGAACTCGAAGATCTACAGGCGATAACTAACAAATTGTCACAGAAGAGGCAGGGCAGCGAAGACGGGACTTCTTTCAAGTGAACGTGGAGAAGACAGAGGTGATGATGATACACAACCAACAACACCATCAACAACAACAAACCCCAATCACCATCAATAGGAGAAACTTAAAGGAAGTAGCCCCCCTTCACTCACACCTATCTAGGAAGCACTGTTCCATCTACAGACAACACAGGCATAGACGAGGAGGTCAAAACCAGCCAGGATCGGAAATACAGCAAGACAGGCGTTTATTTGCCTGAAACCAGTGTGGAGATTTTCTCCACTCAGCATAAAGAACAAAATCCAGATATTCAACATCAACTTCAAGTCAGTGCTCCTATATGATGGTTGAGAGACTTGACCTGTTATGAAAGGCATTTCCAACAAACTGCAGACATTCGTCAACAACTGCCTACACTGACTCGTTACTGAAGCGCAGATGGCCAGAATAGTAGGAATAAACAACAAGGCACTCACTCTGGCTGGCTGGTGACGAACCAACGAGGCAAGAACCGATCACCGAACAAATATGCAGTGGAAGGAAGTGTAGATTGATTGGATTGGGCATGCACTGAGAAGACCATTCGGGGAGATCACGCACCAGGCCAAACCGTCGAGTGGAACCCAAATGGGAAACGGTGAGTTGGACGTATGAGGCAAGGATGAGATGGAGGAGATTGTGTGAGGAATAAATGAGAGCTTGTGGGCTGTCGTGGATCCAGGTTGAAAAGATTGTAGAGAAGAGAGTGGAGTGGGCACGTGCTAGTGAAGCGCTTTATTCCACTAGGCACCCAAGCAACAATTAATAACATAATGATAAATAGCAATAATGTTACTACTTTTAGCCTTGTAAAACATCTTTGTAACATATAGATGATAAGAGTTTATTCGAGGTGTGTCTGTTAAATGCTCAAACTCGAAATGATGCGTCTCAACAGAAATTAGTCAAAGCTCTAACATATAAGTTATTAGTTCAATCACAATCAACTTCTCATTCAGAAAAATATGAAGGCACCTTTAATTCCATCAGTCAGTGTAACTATGATCCAATATTTGGTCTCATAGCTGATTCATCGTTGAATCAATATGAAGATGTTTTCGCATTGGATGTCCCATGTTCAACAATACAATCAAAGTTCGATTAACTTGATACTACAATTGAATACAATTAATATGTCAATTTTATTCTGCCGAAGAACCCTCGTGAATTGTCATTTGATGAAACTATTAATATTCTATCTCAAAGTTTTGCTGAACATTCCATTCCAACTACTAATATTTAGTGGCAGTGCTTTCAGATATCAAAATTACCTTCTGATGAGTATGTGACCTATTCTGGTAAAGTCAATCGTGAATGTGAGCAACTCAGAACCAACGAAATGACATCCGATTGGTTTAAATATTTGATTTTATTCGTGGTCCACAGATCCCTGAAACTAGTAATATTCGAGCCAGACTGGTGTCATGTGTCGATAAGGATCCTAAGACGACTTTACAGATGGTGACAACAGAATGTCGACGTTTAATCAACTTGAAGCATGTAGAGAATACTAGCTGTAACCGAAAACCACTGTAGCAGCTGACAAAGTAGAATAACCGCTCATACAGTTTAGCAGGTCAGAACTGTGCACCAAATCAGTGAACAACCAGCAGCAACTGGCTTGCTGTCTTAGTCTTAGGAGTTTCAGATCAACTCCAGTTAAGTGAAAGGGGCAGTTGTTCGTCCCCACTCACTAACTGTGTTACTGGGAGTTTGAGTTGTGTGAGACGTCACCGTTAAAAAAGTCAAACAAATCTTCAGGACCAGTGCTTGGAAATGTGGTTTATATTTCCTATTAGAAGCACTTTTTAGAGATTTCTTGTGAGAAAGTAGATTGTTCATATCATGGAAACAAAGTGTAGTCATCCGGGTACGAAACGAAGCCAGTAAATAGGTTGCTTTCGAACATATACCTGTTGTAAGGCCCCAGTTTTGCATAAAACATTCTTTTCGGTCTGAACATTTCTAACTCGTCATTTTAACAGCGTTTTGACAGCATGACTAGTTGTTTATTTTCTGCCCGCATTGTGATGTAATTCGCTGATTGGTTAATCCGTACTCTATGTCAATGTCTCAAATTGCGGACAAGCTCGTGTTTCATGTGTGTAAATAGTCACGTGTTTTTGAATCGATTGATTATTCTCGGAGGGATAAACTCTCCTATCCAGCTTCGGCCTTCTTCTCTATTCTCCCCGGGTTGCAGTCGGTGGCTGTTGCGTGCAAAGTTAACTGTCAGTTAAGCGTGCGTATTATATCCGTTCGGAATACATAACAATACTAATTTATTTCATCTCTGATGTTGCAAAATTCATGGAGTAGTGAAAAAATTACCCCACGATTTGCCTTGAGTAACTCACGATATGAATTTCTGACCGGTATCTTTTGCGAAACCAACTTTCTGGTCTCTGTGGGACAGTCGAACTATCTCAGTGGAATGTAGACCAGTCATTCACGTAGGCCAAACTGACTTCTCTAAGGCTCTTTATATGACTGACTATGACTTACTCTTCATGAAGTCACAATAATTAGGCACAAATGTATAGTTACTGATATAGGTAGAGAAGTAGTTCCTTAACCAACTCCAGTCAACTCTTAGAGTTGACTGCTACCTATCCGAGTGGTTTGCAATGAAGAGTGATGAACCTAACGAATATACTTTGAACTCACTTATGTTTTCATATTTACAAAAAGGTACACTGGCTTTTACCAACTCTCTGTCACTATTATACAAAGATAATCTTAAAATAAGGAGGAAAAACTTGGTTTCACGGATATCTATCCTCGCAGAAGACTTGTATTGCACCTGTAAACTGCAGCCGACAACCTACTTTCGCAAAACATAGGACAACAATAATAGATGCGTTTGAATTCTATACGTACACATTCCTATGATTATGAACAGTAATTTAAGCTCGAATATCAAGTAAAAATTACTATATCATTGTGTGTTATACATCAAATAAACAAATCTTGTATGGAGTTATATTCTATCACAATGACTACATTTTACACTTGTATACCCATACATACTTGCTAGAAATGCATTTCTCTCCAAATCTAGATTGAAGAATGTTCTTGATATCGCTGTAATTGAAAAACTATCAGGTCTGAAAACTGGTTGATCGATGGTCAAGAGAGTGTACAGTGTTCACAGGTCATTTCTTAAAACGTTGATACAACTAGCTTCTTATTTATTCGTAGGTGCATGAGATCTGTATATTCACCGTACATTGTTATTTTTCATACTTGTAAAGAGGCCCAAACTACTTCCACGAACACGAACACGTTGTGCTTCGACATTTCCTTTCCAACGTTGTTGCTGATCACGAACACGATCCACTACATTGGATACACCAGCAGATGTACTAGGTATTGTAGTAAGATGCAAAGAGTTGGGTTCTTCAAGTTGATCATTTGCTGTAACACTGGTACGATGACGTGCTCGCACACGATTCAAAGGGGCTGCTACATAAGGAAAAAGCAATTCCGTTATGCAATTTCGAATGCAAACAAGGGAATCGAAGTCAGACAGACACTCCATTGACTTGACAGTTTGGTGGTTGTCACTGATCTTAATTTAACTTCAGCTTAGGTTTAGTATTGATTAACGGACTGAAGAAGATACCCGACGCTGGTCTTGACTACTGTTATTGCCCGAGTCACTATGTCCCACTTGGTTCTACTACCACTAACGTCACACCACCTGAAAGTAGGTTGCTAGCCCACACAATGCTAAGTTATATTGTACCTGGTGGCAAAATATACGGTGAACATAAAACACCGTAAGAGTATACGCAGCCCAATCAGAATGTCAAAGTATGAGAACATGTGATAGACACGTTAAGGACAGTCGTGACCCATTGGTTATCACTTTTATTCTTACTCAATACCAAGACAATATAGTGAGAAAGTTATTTAACCAGTTCCAATGCAGAACTTTACTCTGAATTCTATCACCCGAAGAAATAAAATTCAGATATGTAGACTACTAAAATCATAATGGAAATCTGTGATTTGTGAAAATCAAATTATTGATGGGTCACAGTCGAGTGGATATTATGAGGGCAAGAGGGGGTGATGAGGGACTAATAAAATACAAATTATACGACATATAGTCCAAACATCCGAGCGAGCTACGCTTAGCCACTCAATAAAGTAGGCAAAACCAAAGTATCAAGATAGATTAAAAATAATAAACCTGAAGATTTTTTTGGAATATTTCATATGAACTTTGATTAAATAGTTTCACAACTATCAGACGATGACTGAAACGTTAACATTAGATATAAAGTGTGTTCAATTTGAAAATCCCCATTGAGTCGTAAAACCAAAAGAATTTAGATGGAAAGAATAACTCTTCACTGAATTCATTTTGTTCTTCTATTAGTTGTGTTTGTAAGAATCTCAGTATTTGTAAGATAAAGTAATTAGAAGATCTTGATCAGAAGTCTAGTTCGAGCATCTTTAGGGGAATAGTCGAATGGATAAAATGCGTGATGAATGTTCACTTTATGTTAAATAACAAGTTCTGTAGACAAGTAGATAGGGTTGCGGTTGGCACTCCATAGGGTCCTACCTCAGCGGACATCTTCTTGGACAAACTTTAAAACGGTCCACTTAGGGATACACTTGATAAGCTAGACTATTATTACCGGTATGCAGATGCTGCATTTGTAATTTGTAACAATGACTTCAACAAAGACGATTAACTGAATGTTTTCAATAATGTGCATTCATCTATGAAATTCACCTGAGAAGGAAAACAAAGGAATAGTATATCATTCCTAGATATCCTCCTCACAAGGAAGACGAATGTGTATATTAAGAGGAATATTTTTAGAAGGAATACATGAACTGGTCAGTTTATTCATTTTCATAGGTCCACGACACCACAATATAAAAGAAATCTAGTCAAATGCCTCAGTTATAAAATATAAAATATATGTACTGATGGTTTTATATGGAAGAAACGGATAAGCTGAAGACAGACAACATTTCAGCAAAATGGTTGTTGTCTAGGAAACTTCATAAATAATTACACATTGAGGCCTAGAGAGATTATACAGAAGAGAAACTTTGCTAAGACTAAGTTTCATAGATGAAATCGCCTGTGATATTATTGACACACCAAATGAGCAGATCTATCGAAAGGACACTCACTGCAGTGAAACATTTCGTCAACTTCTCAACTAAACCATAATTGAAATAGCGAACCAAGGATAGTTTATGAATGATGGCCACTTTATGACGCATTTATGAGTTGAACTGCTCCTGTTGAGCTAGTCACATAGGCCGTACTCAAAAGGCTCTATCCATGTGCGCTCGTGAACATGTACCAGGTTGCTTAAGTAAAAGAATGACAAAGCTGACCAACGGAACAATCCTCTCGCATCTAGTAAATACCAAACATCAGATTAAGGTAGATCAAGCCTTTTCTGTAATATATCGTGTTCCATGAAATCTCTCCAAAGGTACACGACTGGGTTTATTGCCAATAGTCGAAGCCATAGGAATCAACACATGAAAACCTGACCTGTATGTTCAAAAGAAATATGTACACCTACTCTATCTATTTTGACCCACTATGAGGTCAACACGTTCTTTTTCGACCACATATTTGACCTTTTCAACCTTGGATCCCATCATATTCTTTTACTTTGTCTCTCTCTCTCTCTCTCTCTCACACACACACACACACACACTCTTCAGTGATAAACATTCATTTTCTTATGTCACAAAGTTTTGTGCTGTTGTTTATTGATACTATTACCAATACGCATTTACAACCCCAATGTTGTAACACGTCACATTTGTTATTTTCTTATAATATTCACATGATTTTCACTCCCACTTGAATATAACTCATCGCTTAATCATGCTGATTTAATCCTCAGTCAACAAACATACAATACACTCTCATTTGACTATTTCAGATAGCCGTAGTTTGGAAGATTAGTAGTTATACTGGGTGATGATTGAACTTTTATTATTATTATTATTTGTACCTTGGGTTCCTAATGGAACAAAGGGATTCAGTAGCACGTCTCAATTCCACTCTCTTCTCTCCAATCTTTCCAACCTGCCTCCACCACTACCCACAAGCTCTCATTTCCTCCTCGTACGATCCCCTCCAAGTCACCCTCGCCTCAGACGCCCAACTCGTCGCTTCTCATCTGGGTTCCACTCGACGGTTTGGCCTGGTGGGTGATGTCCCCGTATGGTCTTCTCAGTGTATGCCCAATCCAATCAATCTACACTTCCTTCCACTGCATATTTGTTCAGCGATCGGTTCTTGCCTCGTTGGTTCGTCACCAGCCAGCCAGAGTGAGTGCCTTGTTGCTTATTCTTCTTATCTTGGCCATCTGATCTTCATGACAAAGCGTAGGCAGTTGTTGGTGAATGTGTGTAGTTTGTTGGAAATGCCTTTCGTGACGCGCTGCCCTGCCTCTTCTGTGACAATTTGTTAGTTATCGCCTGTAGATCTTCGAGTTTGTGTGACATTAGACACAAGTCGTCGGCGAAATCCAAGTCTTCAAAGATCTTCTATTCGGTCCAGCGTATCCCCCCCCCTTCTCACAGCTCTCCACTGTTTGTTGCGTGATCCAGTTGACCACAATCAAGAATATCATGCGTGATAGTAGACAGCCTTGTTTCACTCCTGTCTTCACTTCAAATGCATGACTGAGCTTCCCATCGTGAATTACTTGGCATGTGGAGTCCTCACAAAGTTGTTAAATGAGGCTGATAAAGGTTTTCGTATTCAGTAGTATTGAAGCAGATTCCAAATTACCTCTCGGTCGACGCTGTCAAAGGCCTTCTCAAAGGGATATGCTAGACCGCAGAAAAGAACCTAGAAGATTTGGATTTCGTCGACGACTTGTGTCTAATGTCACACAAACTCGAAGATCTACAGGCGATAACTAACAAATTGTCACAGAAGAGGCAGGGCAGCGAAGACGGGACTTCTTTCAAGTGAACGTGGAGAAGACAGAGGTGATGAAGATACACAACCAACAACACCATCAACAACAACAAACCCCAATCACCATCAATGGGAGAAACTTCACCCACACCTATCTAAGCAGCACTGTTCCAACTACAGGCAACACAGGCATAGACGAGGAGGTCAAAACCAGCCAGGATCGGAAATACAGCAAGACAGGCGTTTATTTGCCTGTAACCAGTGTGGAGATTTTCTCCACTCAGCATAAAGAACAAAATCCAGATATTCAACATCAACTTCAAGTCAGTGCTCCTATATGATGGTTGAGAGACTTGACCTGTTATGAAAGGCATTTCCAACAAACTGCAGACATTCGTCAACAACTGCCTACACTGACTCGTTACTGAAGCGCAGATGGCCAGAATAGTAGGAATAAACAACAAGGCACTCACTCTGGCTGGCTGGTGACGAACCAACGAGGCAAGAACCGATCACCGAACAAATATGCAGTGGAAGGAAGTGTAGATTGATTGGATTGGGCATGCACTGAGAAGACCATTCGGGGAGATCACGCACCAGGCCAAACCGTCGAGTGGAACCCAAATGGGAAACGGTGAGTTGGACGTATGAGGCAAGGATGAGATGGAGGAGATTGTGTGAGGAATAAATGAGAGCTTGTGGGCTGTCGTGGATCCAGGTTGAAAAGATTGTAGAGAAGAGAGTGGAGTGGGCACGTGCTAGTGAAGCGCTTTATTCCACTAGGCACCCAAGCAACAATTAATAACATAATGATAAATAGCAATAATGTTACTACTTTTAGCCTTGTAAAACATCTTTGTAACATATAGATGATAAGAGTTTATTCGAGGTGTGTCTGTTAAATGCTCAAACTCGAAATGATGCGTCTCAACAGAAATTAGTCAAAGCTCTAACATATAAGTTATTAGTTCAATCACAATCAACTTCTCATTCAGAAAAATATGAAGGCACCTTTAATTCCATCAGTCAGTGTAACTATGATCCAATATTTGGTCTCATAGCTGATTCATCGTTGAATCAATATGAAGATGTTTTCGCATTGGATGTCCCATGTTCAACAATACAATCAAAGTTCGATTAACTTGATACTACAATTGAATACAATTAATATGTCAATTTTATTCTGCCGAAGAACCCTCGTGAATTGTCATTTGATGAAACTATTAATATTCTATCTCAAAGTTTTGCTGAACATTCCATTCCAACTACTAATATTTAGTGGCAGTGCTTTCAGATATCAAAATTACCTTCTGATGAGTATGTGACCTATTCTGGTAAAGTCAATCGTGAATGTGAGCAACTCAGAACCAACGAAATGACATCCGATTGGTTTAAATATTTGATTTTATTCGTGGTCCACAGATCCCTGAAACTAGTAATATTCGAGCCAGACTGGTGTCATGTGTCGATAAGGATCCTAAGACGACTTTACAGATGGTGACAACAGAATGTCGACGTTTAATCAACTTGAAGCATGTAGAGAATACTAGCTGTAACCGAAAACCACTGTAGCAGCTGACAAAGTAGAATAACCGCTCATACAGTTTAGCAGGTCAGAACTGTGCACCAAATCAGTGAACAACCAGCAGCAACTGGCTTGCTGTCTTAGTCTTAGGAGTTTCAGATCAACTCCAGTTAAGTGAAAGGGGCAGTTGTTCGTCCCCACTCACTAACTGTGTTACTGGGAGTTTGAGTTGTGTGAGACGTCACCGTTAAAAAAGTCAAACAAATCTTCAGGACCAGTGCTTGGAAATGTGGTTTATATTTCCTATTAGAAGCACTTTTTAGAGATTTCTTGTGAGAAAGTAGATTGTTCATATCACGGAAACAAAGTGTAGTCATCCGGGTACGAAACGAAGCCAGTAAATAGGTTGCTTTCGAACATATACCTGTTGTAAGGCCCCAGTTTTGCATAAAACATTCTTTTCGGTCTGAACATTTCTAACTCGTCATTTTAACAGCGTTTTGACAGCATGACTAGTTGTTTATTTTCTGCCCGCATTGTGATGTAATTCGCTGATTGGTTAATCCGTACTCTATGTCAATGTCTCAAATTGCGGACAAGCTCGTGTTTCATGTGTGTAAATAGTCACGTGTTTTTGAATCGATTGATTATTCTCGGAGGGATAAACTCTCCTATCCAGCTTCGGCCTTCTTCTCTATTCTCCCCGGGTTGCAGTCGGTGGCTGTTGCGTGCAAAGTTAACTGTCAGTTAAGCGTGCGTATTATATCCGTTCGGAATACATAACAATACTAATTTATTTCATCTCTGATGTTGCAAAATTCATGGAGTAGTGAAAAAATTACCCCACGATTTGCCTTGAGTAACTCACGATATGAATTTCTGACCGGTATCTTTTGCGAAACCAACTTTCTGGTCTCTGTGGGACAGTCGAACTATCTCAGTGGAATGTAGACCAGTCATTCACGTAGGCCAAACTGACTTCTCTAAGGCTCTTTATATGACTGACTATGACTTACTCTTCATGAAGTCACAATAATTAGGCACAAATGTATAGTTACTGATATAGGTAGAGAAGTAGTTCCTTAACCAACTCCAGTCAACTCTTAGAGTTGACTGCTACCTATCCGAGTGGTTTGCAATGAAGAGTGATGAACCTAACGAATATACTTTGAACTCACTTATGTTTTCATATTTACAAAAAGGTACACTGGCTTTTACCAACTCTCTGTCACTATTATACAAAGATAATCTTAAAATAAGGAGGAAAAACTTGGTTTCACGGATATCTATCCTCGCAGAAGACTTGTATTGCACCTGTAAACTGCAGCCGACAACCTACTTTCGCAAAACATAGGACAACAATAATAGATGCGTTTGAATTCTATACGTACACATTCCTATGATTATGAACAGTAATTTAAGCTCGAATATCAAGTAAAAATTACTATATCATTGTGTGTTATACATCAAATAAACAAATCTTGTATGGAGTTATATTCTATCACAATGACTACATTTTACACTTGTATACCCATACATACTTGCTAGAAATGCATTTCTCTCCAAATCTAGATTGAAGAATGTTCTTGATATCGCTGTAATTGAAAAACTATCAGGTCTGAAAACTGGTTGATCGATGGTCAAGAGAGTGTACAGTGTTCACAGGTCATTTCTTAAAACGTTGATACAACTAGCTTCTTATTTATTCGTAGGTGCATGAGATCTGTATATTCACCGTACATTGTTATTTTTCATACTTGTAAAGAGGCCCAAACTACTTCCACGAACACGAACACGTTGTGCTTCGACATTTCCTTTCCAACGTTGTTGCTGATCACGAACACGATCCACTACATTGGATACACCAGCAGATGTACTAGGTATTGTAGTAAGATGCAAAGAGTTGGGTTCTTCAAGTTGATCATTTGCTGTAACACTGGTACGATGACGTGCTCGCACACGATTCAAAGGGGCTGCTACATAAGGAAAAAGCAATTCCGTTATGCAATTTCGAATGCAAACAAGGGAATCGAAGTCAAACAGACACTCCATTGAAATTAAAAAGAGAGTGAGCTAGACGTGGATTCGAATAAGTAACATGTCAAAATATATACAACAGAGGAACATAGTGTGTAATGTCCCTGACTTGACAGTTTGGTGATGTTCACTGATCTCAACTTCAGCTTAGGTTATTAGTTGTGTTGCCTGTAGTTGAAACAGTGCTTCCTAGATAGGTGTGGGTGAAGGGGGCTACTTCCTTTAAGTTTCTCCCATTGATGGTGATTGGGGTTTGTTTTTGTTGATGGTGTTGTTGGTTGTGTATCATCATCACCTCTGTCTTCTCCACGTTCACTTGAAAGAAGTCCCGTCTTCGCTGCCCTGCCTCTTCTGTGACAATTTGTTAGTTATCGCCTGTAGATCTTCGAGTTTGTGTGACATTAGACACAAGTCGTCGGCGAAATCCAAGTCTTCAAAGATCTTCTATTCGGTCCAGCGTATCCCCCCCCCTTCTCACAGCTCTCCACTGTTTGTTGCGTGATCCAGTTGACCACAATCAAGAATATCATGCGTGATAGTAGACAGCCTTGTTTCACTCCTGTCTTCACTTCAAATGCATGACTGAGCTTCCCATCGTGAATTACTTGGCATGTGGAGTCCTCACAAAGTTGTTAAATGAGGCTGATAAAGGTTTTCGTATTCAGTAGTATTGAGGCAGATTCCAAATTACCTCTCGGTCGACGCTGTCAAAGGCCTTCTCAAAGGGATATGCTAGACCGCAGAAAAGAACCTAGAAGATTTGGATTTCGTCGACGACTTGTGTCTAATGTCACACAAACTCGAAGATCTACAGGCGATAACTAACAAATTGTCACAGAAGAGGCAGGGCAGCGAAGACGGGACTTCTTTCAAGTGAACGTGGAGAAGACAGAGGTGATGATGATACACAACCAACAACACCATCAACAACAACAAACCCCAATCACCATCAATGGGAGAAACTTAAAGGAAGTAGCCCCCCTTCACTCACACCTATCTAGGAAGCACTGTTCCATCTACAGACAACACAGGCATAGACGAGGAGGTCAAAACCAGCCAGGATCGGAAATACAGCAAGACAGGCGTTTATTTGCCTGAAACCAGTGTGGAGATCTTCTATACTCAGCATTAGCGTGAACAACATCCGGATTGTGAACACCAACGTCAGTCAAGTCAGTGCTTCTGTATGGCTCAGAGACTTGGCGCGTCACGAAAGGGATTTCCAACAAACTACACACATTCACCAACAACTGCCTACGCTTTGTCATGAAGATCAGATGGCCAAGATAAGAAGAATAAGCAACAAGGCACTCACTCTGGCTGGCTGGTGACGAACCAACGAGGCAAGAACCGATCGCTGAACAAATATGCAGTGGAAGGAAATGTAGATTGATTGGATTGGGCATACACTGAGAAGACCATACGGGGACATCACCCACCAGGCCAAACCGTCGAGTGGAACCCAGATGAGAAGCGACGAGTTGGGCGTCTGAGGCGAGGGTGACTTGGAGGGGATCGTACGAGGAGGAAATGAGAGCTTGTGGGTAGTGGTGGAGGCAGGTTGGAAAGATTGGAGAGAAGAGAGTGGAATTGAGACGTGCTACTGAATCCCTTTGTTCCATTAGGAACCCAAGGTACAAATAATAATAATAATAAAAGTTCAATCATCACCCAGTATAACTACTAATCTTCCAAACTACGGCTATCTGAAATAGTCAAATGAGAGTGTATTGTATGTTTGTTGACTGAGGATTAAATCAGCATGATTAAGCGATGAGTTATATTCAAGTGGGAGTGAAAATCATGTGAATATTATAAGAAAATAACAAATGTGACGTGTTACAACATTGGGGTTGTAAATGCGTATTGGTAATAGTATCAATAAACAACAGCACAAAACTTTGTGACATAAGAAAATGAATGTTTATCACTGAAGAGTGTGTGTGTGTGTGTGTGTGAGAGAGAGAGAGAGAGAGAGACAAAGTAAAAGAATATGATGGGATCCAAGGTTGAAAAGGTCAAATATGTGGTCGAAAAAGAACGTGTTGACCTCATAGTGGGTCAAAATAGATAGAGTAGGTGTACATATTTCTTTTGAACATACAGGTCAGGTTTTCATGTGTTGATTCCTATGGCTTCGACTATTGGCAATAAACCCAGTCGTGTACCTTTGGAGAGATTTCATGGAACACGATATATTACAGAAAAGGCTTGATCTACCTTAATCTGATGTTTGGTATTTACTAGATGCGAGAGGATTGTTCCGTTGGTCAGCTTTGTCATTCTTTTACTTAAGCAACCTGGTACATGTTCACGAGCGCACATGGATAGAGCCTTTTGAGTACGGCCTATGTGACTAGCTCAACAGGAGCAGTTCAACTCATAAATGCGTCATAAAGTGGCCATCATTCATAAACTATCCTTGGTTCGCTATTTCAATTATGGTTTAGTTGAGAAGTTGACGAAATGTTTCACTGCAGTGAGTGTCCTTTCGATAGATCTGCTCATTTGGTGTGTCAATAATATCACAGGCGATTTCATCTATGAAACTTAGTCTTAGCAAAGTTTCTCTTCTGTATAATCTCTCTAGGCCTCAATGTGTAATTATTTATGAAGTTTCCTAGACAACAACCATTTTGCTGAAATGTTGTCTGTCTTCAGCTTATCCGTTTCTTCCATATAAAACCATCAGTACATATATTTTATATTTTATAACTGAGGCATTTGACTAGATTTCTTTTATATTGTGGTGTCGTGGACCTATGAAAATGAATAAACTGACCAGTTCATGTATTCCTTCTAAAAATATTCCTCTTAATATACACATTCGTCTTCCTTGTGAGGAGGATATCTAGGAATGATATACTATTCCTTTGTTTTCCTTCTCAGGTGAATTTCATAGATGAATGCACATTATTGAAAACATTCAGTTAATCGTCTTTGTTGAAGTCATTGTTACAAATTACAAATGCAGCATCTGCATACCGGTAATAATAGTCTAGCTTATCAAGTGTATCCCTAAGTGGACCGTTTTAAAGTTTGTCCAAGAAGATGTCCGCTGAGGTAGGACCCTATGGAGTGCCAACCGCAACCCTATCTACTTGTCTACAGAACTTGTTATTTAACATAAAGTGAACATTCATCACGCATTTTATCCATTCGACTATTCCCCTAAAGATGCTCGAACTAGACTTCTGATCAAGATCTTCTAATTACTTTATCTTACAAATACTGAGATTCTTACAAACACAACTAATAGAAGAACAAAATGAATTCAGTGAAGAGTTATTCTTTCCATCTAAATTCTTTTGGTTTTACGACTCAATGGGGATTTTCAAATTGAACACACTTTATATCTAATGTTAACGTTTCAGTCATCGTCTGATAGTTGTGAAACTATTTAATCAAAGTTCATATGAAATATTCCAAAAAAATCTTCAGGTTTATTATTTTTAATCTATCTTGATACTTTGGTTTTGCCTACTTTATTGAGTGGCTAAGCGTAGCTCGCTCGGATGTTTGGACTATATGTCGTATAATTTGTATTTTATTAGTCCCTCATCACCCCCTCTTGCCCTCATAATATCCACTCGACTGTGACCCATCAATAATTTGATTTTCACAAATCACAGATTTCCATTATGATTTTAGTAGTCTACATATCTGAATTTTATTTCTTCGGGTGATAGAATTCAGAGTAAAGTTCTGCATTGGAACTGGTTAAATAACTTTCTCACTATATTGTCTTGGTATTGAGTAAGAATAAAAGTGATAACCAATGGGTCACGACTGTCCTTAACGTGTCTATCACATGTTCTCATACTTTGACATTCTGATTGGGCTGCGTATACTCTTACGGTGTTTTATGTTCACCGTATATTTTGCCACCAGGTACAATATAACTTAGCATTGTGTGGGCTAGCAACCTACTTTCAGGTGGTGTGACGTTAGTGGTAGTAGAACCAAGTGGGACATAGTGACTCGGGCAATAACAGTAGTCAAGACCAGCGTCGGGTATCTTCTTCAGTCCGTTAATCAATACTAAACCTAAGCTGAAGTTAAATTAAGATCAGTGACAACCACCAAACTGTCAAGTCAATGGAGTGTCTGTCTGACTTCGATTCCCTTGTTTGCATTCGAAATTGCATAACGGAATTGCTTTTTCCTTATGTAGCAGCCCCTTTGAATCGTGTGCGAGCACGTCATCGTACCAGTGTTACAGCAAATGATCAACTTGAAGAACCCAACTCTTTGCATCTTACTACAATACCTAGTACATCTGCTGGTGTATCCAATGTAGTGGATCGTGTTCGTGATCAGCAACAACGTTGGAAAGGAAATGTCGAAGCACAACGTGTTCGTGTTCGTGGAAGTAGTTTGGGCCTCTTTACAAGTATGAAAAATAACAATGTACGGTGAATATACAGATCTCATGCACCTACGAATAAATAAGAAGCTAGTTGTATCAACGTTTTAAGAAATGACCTGTGAACACTGTACACTCTCTTGACCATCGATCAACCAGTTTTCAGACCTGATAGTTTTTCAATTACAGCGATATCAAGAACATTCTTCAATCTAGATTTGGAGAGAAATGCATTTCTAGCAAGTATGTATGGGTATACAAGTGTAAAATGTAGTCATTGTGATAGAATATAACTCCATACAAGATTTGTTTATTTGATGTATAACACACAATGATATAGTAATTTTTACTTGATATTCGAGCTTAAATTACTGTTCATAATCATAGGAATGTGTACGTATAGAATTCAAACGCATCTATTATTGTTGTCCTATGTTTTGCGAAAGTAGGTTGTCGGCTGCAGTTTACAGGTGCAATACAAGTCTTCTGCGAGGATAGATATCCGTGAAACCAAGTTTTTCCTCCTTATTTTAAGATTATCTTTGTATAATAGTGACAGAGAGTTGGTAAAAGCCAGTGTACCTTTTTGTAAATATGAAAACATAAGTGAGTTCAAAGTATATTCGTTAGGTTCATCACTCTTCATTGCAAACCACTCGGATAGGTAGCAGTCAACTCTAAGAGTTGACTGGAGTTGGTTAAGGAACTACTTCTCTACCTATATCAGTAACTATACATTTGTGCCTAATTATTGTGACTTCATGAAGAGTAAGTCATAGTCAGTCATATAAAGAGCCTTAGAGAAGTCAGTTTGGCCTACGTGAATGACTGGTCTACATTCCACTGAGATAGTTCGACTGTCCCACAGAGACCAGAAAGTTGGTTTCGCAAAAGATACCGGTCAGAAATTCATATCGTGAGTTACTCAAGGCAAATCGTGGGGTAATTTTTTCACTACTCCATGAATTTTGCAACATCAGAGATGAAATAAATTAGTATTGTTATGTATTCCGAACGGATATAATACGCACGCTTAACTGACAGTTAACTTTGCACGCAACAGCCACCGACTGCAACCCGGAGAGAATAGAGAAGAAGGCCGAAGCTGGATAGGAGAGTTTATCCCTCCGAGAATAATCAATCGATTCAAAAACACGTGACTATTTACACACATGAAACACGAGCTTGTCCGCAATTTGAGACATTGACATAGAGTACGGATTAACCAATCAGCGAATTACATCACAATGCGGGCAGAAAATAAACAACTAGTCATGCTGTCAAAACGCTGTTAAAATGACGAGTTAGAAATGTTCAGACCGAAAAGAATGTTTTATGCAAAACTGGGGCCTTACAACAGGTATATGTTCGAAAGCAACCTATTTACTGGCTTCGTTTCGTACCCGGATGACTACACTTTGTTTCCATGATATGAACAATCTACTTTCTCACAAGAAATCTCTAAAAAGTGCTTCTAATAGGAAATATAAACCACATTTCCAAGCACTAGTCCTGAAGATTTGTTTGACTTTTTTAACGGTGACGTCTCACACAACTCAAACTCCCAGTAACACAGTTAGTGAGTGGGGACGAACAACTGCCCCTTTCACTTAACTGGAGTTGATCTGAAACTCCTAAGACTAAGACAGCAAGCCAGTTGCTGCTGGTTGTTCACTGATTTGGTGCACAGTTCTGACCTGCTAAACTGTATGAGCGGTTATTCTACTTTGTCAGCTGCTACAGTGGTTTTCGGTTACAGCTAGTATTCTCTACATGCTTCAAGTTGATTAAACGTCGACATTCTGTTGTCACCATCTGTAAAGTCGTCTTAGGATCCTTATCGACACATGACACCAGTCTGGCTCGAATATTACTAGTTTCAGGGATCTGTGGACCACGAATAAAATCAAATATTTAAACCAATCGGATGTCATTTCGTTGGTTCTGAGTTGCTCACATTCACGATTGACTTTACCAGAATAGGTCACATACTCATCAGAAGGTAATTTTGATATCTGAAAGCACTGCCACTAAATATTAGTAGTTGGAATGGAATGTTCAGCAAAACTTTGAGATAGAATATTAATAGTTTCATCAAATGACAATTCACGAGGGTTCTTCGGCAGAATAAAATTGACATATTAATTGTATTCAATTGTAGTATCAAGTTAATCGAACTTTGATTGTATTGTTGAACATGGGACATCCAATGCGAAAACATCTTCATATTGATTCAACGATGAATCAGCTATGAGACCAAATATTGGATCATAGTTACACTGACTGATGGAATTAAAGGTGCTTTCATATTTTTCTGAATGAGAAGTTGATGGTGATTGAACTAATAATTTATATGTAAGAGCTTTGACTAATTTCGGTTGAGATGCTTCATTTTGAGTTTGTTGAAGTTGCAAAATAGATTTGAGACCATTCAATGAAAAAGAAATATGGCAAAATGCAACTGAAACCCGCCTCCAATTGAAGTGATTAGGTGAAATGATAAAAGAAAAATACCTAACTATAATAATGCAGCGAGACTCTTGGAATGGGTAAGAGTAGTGACTATTCTCCCTCATCCAGCTACGAAGATATCAGAAGACAAGACTGATCTGTGACTGTGAGGAAGACAATTTGTTCGACAAAAACATCATGTGTGTGCGGTTTCCATGAATGTATAAAACCACCATTATCGAAAGCCAAATAACTTATAGTAATTGGTCATTAGTATGATAAAGTTGTCCAATAAAGTTTTGTTGACCACAGAATGACATGAAACAAAAGTTGAAATAAAACGTTCTATCGCAGCGGCGTATCACTCAAAATGTTGATTTCCACTTAGTCCACTTCCTATCACTCGATATATTATCTTCAACAGTCAATCGTAACACTACAACATGAAAAAGTATACAAAGCGTGTGGTATATTGTTTAGGTAAGGTAGTTTTTAGCAACATGTTGAGTTGAAGTGTTTCAGTTATAGACTGGTGTGTTTGTAAACAATTTAAATAAACTTTGGTGCATAAATTCGTCTCGATGACTGCAGATCATTTCATTTGAAAATAATGAACTGCTCATATTCTGTTTTCGAGTTGTGACCAGAACGGTTCGATGTAATTGGCGTGTGTCCCTGTTACAGGGTTACTGCTGTGGTTAACATGTGATGCATATAACCTAGAGCGCTTAATCTTTGATAGACAGACCACTGGTCTACATGAATTATTCTTCCAGGAGGAAGTAAAAGCAGTATAATTCCAGTGATAATACTGGCGGTTTTGTTTTCTATTCTTTGCATATAGCCAGCTACTTGATCAAGACTTCCGAGACCCAATCGAGGCGTTTTTGAAAACAACTTGGATTTTGAAAAGAAGTCGTCTAGTGAAAGACTGAAGAGACAGAGATAACAAACCATCACGAATAGATTCACTTTTGGGTGGTCGAGTCTCAGCTGTGGACAATGAAAGAGCGAACTGCTGCACAGTATTCTCGTTTTCTAACAGGTAGTCGGAAATCTCGCCAGTCGGTTTCAGAGGTGACGCACTTTGGTAAATGCCAAAGGGGTCTTCTGTATGCATCCGAATTCCCGTCACAAACCAACCCGTTTCGTTTCGTGTGAGTTGCTAATTAAATATAGCTCTGAATGCATTCTATCACTTCACTCTTTTTTTGAGTATCACAACTAGATGTGAGACTTTCGTTCGATACTTTCTGTTGGCTTTTGATTCCATAGGATTCCGGACTGCACCATGCGCAATCGCGATTGCATTCAAGATGATAGTTATCCTTCGGAATGGAATTGTTTCCATTAATAATACGGTACTTGAAGACCGGATTAACGGGTATAGTGCACTTTGTTTTACTTTTACTATACAAAAGATGAATACGAAAAATTCTGCATTTCTTTGGATTCTCACCTAATCTGGTTCAGTTTCTCAATTTATTTGTCGTTCTCCATGTCAAGCATTTCTTCATTGAGGGGATGTATGTGAACGTGGAGTGATTTATCACTGAGTTTTCTCATTTAGGATCACTTCACATGAGTGCACAGTACTGGGTGAACCAGAAGTTTTGTAGTATAATTTTTACCTCAGATACCAGCCCGTTTATGTGCGGAAAACGCACATGTTTGCTTCTGGTCATAATCCATTGTCGGGCAAGGGAGTTGGTAGATGCATCATATGAGATCATAGATGGGATGAAAATCTTGCAACAATCCATACAGTCATCAACTCAATTTAATTCTGAAGTAGGGCATTGTGGAGCATGATAACAGATGTTACCGTCAAAACCATTGTGTAGCCTGTATCGAAGATATGAATCTCGGGTGTTTTCAAATATACAGCAAAATCGACCAAATTCAAAACAGTTCGTTGCCAAACAAGGAATGTATATTCAAAGTGTTGAGGGACTCTGTAAATAATTGTGCTTTACGGCAAAATGTATGTAAAAAATTCAACTGCAAACCTTCAGTTTTACCGCTTCCACAGATTCTGACAAAAACAAAATACAGTGGTGCAATCAATTAGACTGTAAAAGCAAATTGAATGAAGACAAACAAGACAAGTGGTCAGGCACTTTTAGTAAATCATAAGAATAAGACCAAAATCACAGGCAACTCTCCTCTTCCACTCAGAAGTCTGTTGCCTGTAAACAAAGAATTATTGTCGATGATTCGAAGTGGTAACCGTAGTTTTGTATGACCTAAAAGATCTGTTGAACATTCCACGTCAGCGGTGACATCGATTCACAGCATCAGTGTTTGTTCACAGTGACGACAAGAGACTATTTAGTTTCCCTGTGGATAGGTGTCCACCATACTGTTGATTAGCATGGACGTTGGTATCCAAGCCAAAACACAGATAAGTGGAGAGCATATCAATCTTCTGCACCACTGTTTATGTTGTTATTTTTCATTATCCGAAATAATTTCGGCAATATGATGAAGTAAGAATAGATTGTATGGTACACCCATCTGGTACGGATTGTAAATTCGGTGGCAGTAGACAACATCATATTACCCTTCTAGTGCACCATTCTGGCACCAAAATGCAACTGGGGGCCAAAATAAATACATTGAATTAAATTCACTGAATATTAACTAAATAACCTTCTAGCTCGCCTCCATATGCTTAAGATATCTTAAGTTTTGTTTTGACTCATACACATCCAATCAGGCTTCGACGTTATTTTGCGCCTCCTTTCAGCTGGTTAAC